ATAATTATTGCTTGTCTCTTTGTCCTTTTTTTTTGAAAGTAATCTGAGTTTTTCGTTTTTCAGATTTTTGCATGTTGAAATTCCCTGATGATCTTTAACAGGTACATGCAAATGAAGCCTTTCTGATTATGTTTCCTTCTTCTATCTTCCCTTTTTTCAGAAACTGGTTGTGGTTCAGGTTTCACCAGAAGCCCATAAATGATGGATTTTTGTTGAATTGATGAACTTTGTCTGGTTCTATTTCATGTACACAGTTTTCATGGAAATAGGAAATTTTCTCTGAGTAAGTTGGTAATTAAATCAGTGAATCCAGCTGTTTGTTCTTAAAAAGTCTTTCATCCATAATTTCCTTTCATGTGTTAGGTTTGTACGGATTAATGCTAGTTACTAGTTGGTGCATTGAAGTCCATCTTGGAATGTGATCCGCTAGTAAGTAGAGAAGAGATTCACTTAATTTGATTTCTTTGCAAATGGTGATCCAAACAAACAACCCTAATGCTTTTTATCATCCTTTTTCCTTACAAGTTTCTTCATTTCTGCTTCTTAATTTGCTAGGAAACTGATTTGGTTCTTTTGTTTTCGGTATCATCTGGGGCCAAAGGAAGTTTTAAATGTTGTTTTCTACTGGAATGGTTGATCTTATATGGTGCCAAAGGAGGTTACAAATGTTGCTTATCTTCTGCTGCCAAAAGGAGGTTTTAAACTGGCAATTTCTACTAAAATTATTGATCTACTTAAATTTGACTATATTTCATCTGATGTTGTTCTTGTTGATTTGATCTATTTATTGTGCTCCACAAGCTTAAAAGTTTGTCTTTTCATGAAATTTTTAAATCAAATGCTTTATAATTGGATGCCTAGTTTTGGAGTGATTTTGTCTAGTCTCCTTTGATTACTAAATGCATTATAATGTGTTTAGGCAAAGGCATGAGTTCGTGTTTTGTTTCTTTCAGAAATTTTGGTTTTATGTTGTTCCCATGAATGAGTAAAAAAAGGAGCTTTTAATTTTGCTAATTTTGGTGTCAACCATTCAAGTAAGAAAAGTCTTGATGAAATTAAAATGTGAAATGGTTTGCTGGTACTGGTTTCCAATGTGCTTCAGCTTGAAATCCATAAATGAATTCGTGATATAGTGAACAGTAGAGACGGATAAATGTTAAAATTGTAATTTTTCTCCTGAAATGGTTGATCTTAAGTTGGCAAACGATATCTTATCTGATGTTATTCTTTTTTGGTCTGATCTTTAGCTTTGTTTTCTAAGATTATTCTTCAAATAAGTTTTTTTTCTATTCGAATGAGTTTTTGTCAATATCAAGTGCTTTGTAATCGGATGCCTAGTTAGGCAATGATTATGTCTAATCTTGTTTGATTACAACATGCCTTATAATTAATGGGGTTTTTGGAAGGCAATGGTGTTTTTGTTTCCATGAATGAGTAACCGAGGTTCTTTTCTATCATATTCACAATATAAATCGAGACGGAAGGAGGTTTTGCAATCTGTGTCAATCATTCAAGTCCACAAAGTCCTTGTATCGTGTTTTATTAAATCAAATTGTAAATTTCGGTTAAATACCAGTAGTATTAGTGTCTAAAGTGTTTCACCTTGAAATCTATTTATGAATGAAGTTGCAAGACAGATAACAAGTGGTGGCGCATAGACTTTCTGTGTACATCACAGTCTTAGTGTTACTTATCACCAGTTTCTTTTCCTTTGCCTGAGAAGTCATGCATAGATAAAATGATCTCTATATAAGGCAGACGTGGGAAGTTTCATGTACTTATGTTTCTTTAGGCTATTGTGATGAATGTGTTGTTTCTGCAGTTCTTCATGGGCTATTCAGATATTCGATAATTTAATCGGTGAGTTCAGATGAGCATTAAACTTCAGATTCTGTGAGAAAGAGATGATTCTGTTCATAAACCATGTGAACGATTCTAATTACAGTATCTTGATTTTAGAGTTGATCATAATTCGTATGTAAAGTGATGCTCCATCTTATATATATGTTGTCTTCCTTTTTTTGCATGTGCAGTTGAGCTATACTGATGATTTGATAGGTAATCTAGAACAAAGAAAAACGCAATATAATGATTAAGGGCATTTTGTAAGCTTTTAGGTTACTCTAGAGAAAATACCATGTTCGAAAAAGTGTTGTTGATTGCCTTGTTTAATCCTTCTTGTGCAAGTGAATTTATTATAGTAGAACAGAATCCTGTTTTGTGGATTTGTATCATTGTCATCACCAAAAGACATTTGCAAGAAAACAGCCCTAGCAGATAGGTAATTGATCATATATTTAAGCATAGAGTACTGGCCAATTTAATAAGAGCTAGCTCGATGATCCTGGAGAAAGACTTTTATATTAGCCCAGTTTGC